TCACTCGCAAGGCATAGGCCACACGGCAAAACGAAGCGCAGTGACGGAGGAGCAGGAACGCAGTTTGAACGTCCGGCAGAGCGGCAAGCTCCTGCAGAAGGGGTTTATTAATACCCTAAACTGTGAAGCCTCAACCACTTTCAAGAGCGGCCAATAAGGTTTTCCATGTTCGTGTAAGTGCGGAGGTTTCGGTGTTTTTGGGTATGTGTAGCACGAAGAGAAAACAACTCGCACGCACTGCGTTGCTTTCAAAATTAAAGTGGGGCACACCAAAAAAGGGCGGGCGGGTGCGTGCATGGGAGGTTGTTTCGGGATCCGGCCGCAATGGTTCAAGCAATTCTGAGAGCAAGCTGATCCCGATCCCCGAGGCTTTTCATAGCATCTTTTCCATGTTTTCATATTTCCTAGATTTGTGGTTTTCATTTCTTCATATCAATTTAATAAATGAAATTCAATATGCTTTTCCTGGTCGTAGCTGGGAGCCCTTCAGGTTCAAGATAGGCAACACCATTAGAGTTTTCTGTTCGGAAAGGCCAAGCAGCTTGTCGGTGCCCACTTGGACTTCTCCCTTGATGAGCTCGTCAGAGAGTGTTTTGAGCCTTGGTGTGCCCGTAGATGATGGGTGTTTTGGCGAGCACCGCGATCTACCAGTATCATAGCAAATGTTGGAAAACAAACATCAAAACTTGCATGAATGTGACTCCAGGATGCGTCTTGGCGCCTTCGCGGCCGTATTGACTCACCTAAGCAGAGATCCGGGATCTACTTCTTCGGGCACTTTGGCTTAGGGAACTGCGATGGGAAAGGGATGCACGGACCAAGTTGAACTCAGCTCCAGGCATCAACTCCAAGCTCGCAGAGATATGATGTAAGTTCCTCCTCCTTCAGGCCAATTGGTGCCTCACGAACACTTGGAATGTGCTGCTCCTTGCAATAATGCTTGACGAGAGATCCGTTAAGTTTTGATGCCCACACTTTTGCTAGCTTGGTTTATTGGCTGTATGCCAGTTGGTGCCAGCGGCCAGCTCAGACAACATCCTGGTTCCAACAGCAGACCTTCTGTTGAAACCTGTGCCTGCCTGGACCAAAGAGGAAATCACCGAACGTTCTGCACCCACCTTCACGCAGGAGGCCTCGGGTGAAAACTCGGATAATGCATAGCGGCATAGCGGAGTACAGTGATTAGATTGCAAGGCACTGTTTATCACCTCAAGTCGTTTATTTCTACGAACCCATGATGCAACCTGCGAGTTGTGCACGGTGATGCTGGCAATCTGCGCAACCCCAATGCAGCAGCACGCCCAATTAGAATTTTCTGTCACGGGTGACCATCTTCAACATACTGGCTGCAATTCTGCTCGTGTCTTTCATACTGTTTTCCTGGTCCGAAAAGCCTGAGCAACAGCTTCAGCCAAGCGACCGTGGCTTCTTGCTCTGTCATCCACCGAAGCGTCCTCAACAAGCCCAGCACTGAGGGGAGTTATCAGATTGCTGCCAGATTTGTGTAGGCGCTGTTTTATTTGAACTCAATATCCGAAAGCTCCTAACTCGCATCGCATGCAGCGGTGTGCTGGACTAAGGCTTCCAGCATGCTTCACCATGCAACTGGCACATGACGGACGTCTTCCTGCTTTCGCATGAGATGAGGCCTGAAGCCCATGGCACCAAAATGGAACGCGAATGTATGCATGTATGTGGCATGATCTGGAGCTCAAGGATTTGTGTATGCGGATGTAAAGGGGTATGAAGCGAAGGGGTCTGGACAGCGGCGTGCCAAATTGTTCGAATGTAGTCCTGCGGGTCTGGACTGCGAGAGGTTCTGGCCAGAAGATATTAGAAAACATAGGCCGCGGAGGCACCTCTTCCACAATGGCGTGGCAGACCAACTCCAAGCCCCAACCGCAGACCGAATCATGATGCAAACGGCAGCTCTTGTGTTGGGAATTGTGTGGGGGGTGGTGTTTGGGAGCCAAAAACAATTTTAAACCTGAATGGGGTGTGGAACGTGCCTAGAGAAAGGGCTTCAAAAGCATGACTGGTAAAACCGGAAGATTTAACCTTGCAATCGCAGCAAACCTGATCCCGTCTTTTGCCGAGATGACCCCAAAAGGGAAACAGGTTGAAACCTGGGTGTTTCACGGCTTTTTCAGGATGTGGAGGGTTCGATCTGCGGAGTGCTCCAGGCAGCCATTTGGATCGCTGTCAACAAGTGCTGGGCTTGTGTACTTTTAGGTATGGGGAATATTCAAACCATAATGTCGTACGTGTTTGGAGAGCATACG